TAGTGAGTCTGCAAAGGTAGGATTGTAATCGATATCCTTTATTATGAGCTGCTTTTTGTGTTGATTTCCTTGTGAGCGTTGAAGCATTGGAGTAACACCCATACTCTTTTAATAAAAGGAATTTTTAACATGTGTGTTAGGTATGTTAAAAGTATATTTATTGTATATTTTTGTAATTAATTTATATTAAAAATTAAAAAATAATTTTAATTTTATCAACTATCAAATTAAAAATATATATGTAGCATTGGTGATAAAAATAAAATCAACTTTTGTATTTTTTTAGAAAATTAAATGTAAAAAACTATAATTAATGTATCTTTAATATGTATCTATAGTTTAAAAATACAGATTAAACAAAAACTTAATAAAATAATAGAAAAAACAATTCATGAATAAAATAAGAAAACTAATATACAAAAAACTCCAAAAATATTAATATATAAAGTGAGAAAGAGAAGAAACTATCAAATAGAGAAAATTATTTTGTTTTGTTTCATAATTTAGATCAATCGGTGGTCCAATTATTACAACAACAAATAAATTCAGATTCTCCCAACTTCAGACAAGCACCTCCCTTAGGAAATCCTCTCGAAACACAAAAGGTATGGCAATCTGGTTGTGCATTTTTACAAAGTCCCAAGCAAATTTCTGGTCCCAGTCCCTGTGCAGGTGCTGGCCCTGCAAGAATGATACCAATCAATTGCATATTTGCATCCATAACATTGACACGAACCGTTTCCCTTAAAAAAGTAATAATAATAAAATACCATTAACCTGTGTTTATGAAATCAAAATAGAGAAACTGTACCTGAAGTGAAAAGCAAAATTAAGAATAACATTCCCAAGAAGGAGGCTTGATGAGTAGCCATTTCCTCTCTAAACAACTGTTAGAAAAACAGAAAAGAAGAATAATTTGAAGAAAGGTTTATTGTTTTTCTTGAATCATTCTGTATGTACAATGACCTATATATAGGTATTTCCAAAGAGAATATTTTAAGGTATAAAGTATATAAAAAGAATATTCTAAGGTATAAAGTATATAAAGAGAATATTTTAAAGTATAAAATATTTACAATAATTCTAAATATAATTGTGTTCACATCTTAACATCCCCCTTCAAACTCAAGGTGGTTGAGATGAAACCAGCTTGAGTTTGGAAAGAAAAGTACGAAAGCGTCTAGGAAAATGAGCCTTGGTAAAGAGGTCTGTCAGTTGATCAGCGAAGCCAATGAAAACCAAATGAACAATTCCTTGTGCAACATGATGGCGAATAAAGCGACAATCAACCTCAATGTGTTTAGTGTGTTTATGAAAGACATCATTATGAGCAATCTGCATAGCACTTTGATTATCACAATATAAATCAGTAGAAGAAGGTTGAGGAATGCCCATATCTTCAAGCAGCCACCGCAATGAAAGAAGTTTTGATGTGGTATCCCCGAGAGCTCTATACTTAGCTTCAATACTAGAGCGAGATGGAATAGTTTATTTCTGACTCCTCCAAGAGATAAGAGAATTACCAAAGAAAAGACAGTAACCAGTGGTAGATCTACAATCAAAAGAATCACCAGCCCAATCAGCATCAGAGTAAGCGCGAAGCACAGGGGAGGAGTTGGCAGAAAAATGGAGTCCATGAAATAATGTCCCTTAACTTAGCGAATGATGCGAAGTACTGCTGCATAATGAGTGGAGCGAAGAACAGCCATAAACTGACTAACAATGTGAACTGCATATGCTATATCAGGGCGTGTCATAGTAAGATAAACCAGACTACCAACCAATTGCCGATAGTGAGTAGGATCAGAGAGTGGAGAGCCATCCATAGGTGTAAGCTTGACATTAGGTTCAAGAGGTGTAGAATCACTCTTACCATCATTGAGTTCAGCTTTAGGAACAAGATCAAAGGCATACTTTACTTGAGAAAGCATGTAGCCATCATCTGAAGAGGTCACTTCAAGCCCTAAAAAATAGCTCAGAACACCAAGATTTTTCATCTCAAATTTCTGACTGAGAGATTGTTTTAACTCCTCAACACTTGCGACATCATCTCTAGTAATAATCATGTCATCAACATAAAAAAGTAAGAGGACCATACCCCAAGCAGTCTTACGAATGAACAAAGCTGTATCATGAAGACAGGAAGTAAAACCAAACTCACTCATAGTAGCACTAAACTTTGCATACCAGGCTCGAGGGGATTGCTTCAACCCATATAATGCACGATGCAATTGGCATACCTTGTTCGGAGGATGGTTGAGTCTAGGAGATGGTTTCATATAAACTTCTTCTTCTAGGTCACCATTAAGAAAAGCATTTTTCACATTTATCTAAAACAATTTCCATCTCCGCATAGCAGCAATAGCAAGCAAACTACGCATAGATGTAAGACAAGCAACTGGAGCAAATGTCTCCTCATAGTCGATTCCATAATCCTATGTAAAACCCTTAGCAACCAAGCGTGCCTTATAACGCTCCACAAAACCATCAGATCGTGTTTTGATCTCGTACACCCATTTACAGCCTATTAGAGATTTTTCAGCAGGGAGATCAACTAAATCCCATGTACTAGTGTTCTTAAGAGCTTGTAATTCATCTTGCATAGTTTGTTGCCAAAGAGGGTTAGAAAAGGCATCTTGATAGGATTGAGGCTCATGTAACGAAGTAATAGCAGGAAAATAATGATAATCACGAAGGTAGTTGGGAGGGTTTCTTACCCGAGTAGGAGGACTCAAGAATGGCACAACAAGCTCATTTGTAGAATCAACAGGTGATACAGATGAGGAAGTAGAAGAAGGCTCAAAATTATCTAATGCATTACCAGCAGGTAGATCATCTTTTACAGAACTAATTGGAGCATGTGGTGAGGCATTGTAGAGCTCTTTAGATGTACTTACATTAGAATCACTAGGAAATAGCTCAATAGAAGGATTAGTAAAAAATGGAGGTTGATGAGAGGATGACACTTTGAAGTTTGACAATGATGAGAACATAGGGTGTTCCCAAAAGACAACATGACGTGAAACTAGGAGTTTTTGTGACACAAGATCCAACAACAATATCCTTTTTGTGTAATTCCATAACCCAAAAAACAGCATAATCGAGCTCTAGGTTCTAACTTGTTATGTCCATGAGGTGGAAGAAGAACAAAACATGCACAACCAAAAACCTTAAGAAAGAATACCATGTAGATGCTTGTATGGAGACTGGTTATTAAGGACTGATGATGGAATACGATTAATAAGATAAACAGCTGTAAGAGCAGCTTCACCCCAAAATCGCTCTGGATAAGAAGATGAAATGAGCAAAGCACGAACAGAATCAAGAATGTGTCTGCGTTTGTGTTCGGCTCGCCCATTTTGTTCAGAAGTATAAGGACAAGACTATTGTGGCAGTGTACCCTGTTCTTTCAAAAAGGATTGAAGTTTAGTACCAAGATATTCAGTAGCATTGTCAGTTCTCAAAACTTTGATAATTTTAGAGAACTCAATTTTGACCATGGTAGCAAAATCAATATAAATTTGTGATAATTCAGAGCGATTTTTCATAAGGTATATCCAGGTAAAAACAAGTATGATCATCAATAAATAACACAAAGTACCTGGAACCCCCCATGGTGGGTGTAGGAGATGGACCCCAAACATCAAAATGCACAAGATCAAAAGGAGCAGTAGAATGAGAATGACTACTTGAAAAAGATAAAGCTAGTTGCTTTGCAGATTGACATGACACACAATGCATAGATTCATTTGAAACTGATCCTAATAAACCACAAGAGATAAGTGGACGAAGTTTACCAACTGTCGTGAGTGCCACAAATGGAGAGAAGAAATGTTAATAGTAGCACAGGCTTGGAAGATTTGTTGATATGAAATTTGCAAAGACTTTAATTCAACAGCACAAAGTAGGGTTTGGATGAATCGATCACTTGGAAATGATGGTGTATCCATTTTGTTATTAGGAATATGCAGATAGTTGAGCTCAAACAAACGCCCCACCTTGCGACCAGTTCCAAGAAGTTGTCTTGTCCGTGGGTCCTGCACATGACAACTGTAAGTAGAAAATGTTACTTCAAGACCAAGATCACATAATTGACTGACAAATAGAAGATTATAACTAAGTTTTGGAACTAAAAGGGCATTTGGTAAAGTAAATGACTTTGTAGAAACATTGCTAATGTGACTAACATTCATAGGGGAACCATCAGTAGAATAACTAAAAAATAAAGAGATTGAACCAGATATTAATTCATTTACCAACTACTCAAAAGTCTCAAATTTTTTTTTGTATTAATTTTTTGGTATCAGTTAACTATATTAGATGCAAATTAATCTGGAATCGAATCGCATTGGATTCAATAAGGGAAAAACTCTCTTGATGTCTATTTTTTTATTCACAAAATTTGAACTCAAGATTTTATTTTAAAAAAATCAAACTCCTTTCACTTGAATCAACAAATCATTGATCTGAACCCATTTAAATTAATATGAAAACTACTATTAATAAGGAATGCTGATTTTCACGTTGATCTACAATAAAATATATTAATATTGTGAAATGACTTAAATATTTTTTAATTAGTAAATATTTTTAATGAATTAATATGCATAGGGATTTATTAACATATTCAAATAATTTTATAAATATTTTTACACATTTTTCTTTTTAGTAGACCTAAAAAATATTTTCAAAAATTAATAACTAAAATCAAATTTGCTGGGATTTGTGGTAAATCAGAAGGTACCATGTTCCCTTTCCATTATTGGTTCTCTTTCCCACAAATTTGCGCTAAGGAATTTTGGAATCCTTACTGTAGTGGCTGAGTCCTACTCTGTTCTCAATTAACTCTTCTACTCAAATGTAAGATTTTTACAACAAGTGCTGTTCTAAGCGTCCGGTGAAGTACATTTTGTATTCCTGATTAAAAAAAAAAAAAAGTTTTTGATTCATCTAAAAAAATAACTAAAATCAAATTTTTAACCGAAAGGTAAATTTTTTAGAGAAAATTGGATGATAATAATGGAAATTACTTCCTACTTCCTATAGCCTAAAAGGCTACAACGTATGGAACCAGACAAATTTTAAAGGTAATTTAACTAGTTATAAGTTTGAAATTTTAAATTAAAAATTTAGAATAAATAGGAAGAGATTTAAGAAAAGAAAAAAATTATTATTTTATTATATAACTTAATATAAAAAAAAACTAATAATAAAGACTAAAAAAATTATTTTTTTATTATATAACTTAATATAAAAAAAAACTAATAATAAAGACTAAAAATACTCACCTACCTTTTATTGATTACAATACTGAGATATAAAAAATATTAAAAATGTAAGTTTTTAAGAAAAAAATTTAAACTTATAAAATATAAATAATATCAAAAACCTGAAGTACTTAGGAAGCTACACCAACCCTAAATTTCTAAAACCGACTGAGCTTCACTTCAACTTGAGGAATCCTACTATAGGGTAATAATTAATTATATGGTTATTGATTTCTGATTGTATGTGTGTGTGGGGAAGGATCGAGTTGGAATTTGAATTTCCACAGCTGTAAGATATGTTTTGCAGCTTATGCTAAGTTTCATTATTGATTTTGTGTTATAAATGCTATGTTCTTTTTTGATGTTTGAAATGCTATGTTCTTCGTTTTGAGTAACAGAGTTAAGGTGTCTAGTGTTTGAAATTTTCTGTTTTAAGTGTGTTTTAATCTCTCTCTCTCTCTTTTAATTTTTTTTTATTAAGTTGCTCAAATGGCCAATAAAATAAGAATATAGTCGTTTAAATATTTTTTTGTGGCTTATACCACTTACTTATATATAAAGAAAAATATTTTACAAGTTATTTTTTAAAAGTTTTTAGAAGACCTATTTAAAATTTATTTTTTAAATAATATTTATCAATTATTTTATCATCAATTAATAATTTTAATTATTATTATTTTTAATAATAAAATATTTTCAAATTTTAAAATTTAAAAATTTAAATAACTTAATAATTTATTAAGTAACCATATCCACCCCCACCATTCATCATCGGTCCTAAGCCTCTTGACTACCTTCCTCTGCTATCCACATGCACGTAACATCCAAACCACATTATTAAATTCCAACAATTTTCTCGCCAGTACTCATCTCCCTTTTGATCTCTAAATCCCAACATCCCCGACACAATCTATTTCCTGGTTCTTGTAATCCTCAATTTAATCAAGAATAACTGCAAATTAATTTCCAAAAAAACAAAACAAAAATTCCAAAAAAAAACAACCTTCTGTTTTCTTCTCCACCTAATTTCTCAACTGATTTCTCCAAAATTTTCTGTACCCCCATTTCTCTCCCCCGTTGATTTCACCCGATTTCATATCCTGCATGTCTGA